GGCTCTGAAGTGGGGCCCCTCTCCTGGTTGGCACTTCTTGTCTTCGGTCCTCTGAGAGGCCTGCCTGCAGCGGTGGGCTCCCCGTCGCTCCCCCCCATGAGGGTGCAGAAGCTGGTCACAGAGCAGGGCCACACTCCGGGGGTGCGTGGTGCCGGGCCCCCTGCTGCCAGGATGACCTTCCTCTGGGGTCTCAGCACGGGCTTCGGAACTCCTCTTTCTCTTGTTTGGGCTTGTGGTAATAGAGGGGCTTTATTCCCGTGATAATGTGAAGTGCCTGCCCGTGGAAAGCACCTCATTGTATCTGCAGGCCCTGGTGCCGTGGTGGGCACTCCGTCTCGAATCCCCAGTGGGGGCACAGGCCCAGTTCAGAGGTGTGGCTCTGTGGGGTCGGGGCCACGACCACTGCCCCTGTGTGAGAAGCTCTGCAGACACTCACGTGTACCTACATGGGTGTGTGTGCTTGAGCATGCGTGTACGTGGGTGGGGGGGGTGAGGGCTTGTGGACCCATGATGGACTCGGTGAGGTGAGAGGCTCTGGGAGGAGCCCTCAGAGTCTACGGCACTGAGGTCCCCCCACCCCGGTACCTGCGGGTCCCACCAGAGCCAGCGCCGACTGGAGGCCAGACTGAGTGGTCTGGGAGGCTGGGTAGGCCAGGCTACAAGAGAAGGCCCCATTATCCCACACGGCCGCTTGCTCAGACGTTTGGGGAAGGTGGCGGGGACAATGAGATGAGGACCACTTGATCTGAACATGCATTGGAGTCATTGTGCTTTTCTGGGGTGTCTTTTAAACACTGGAAGGGTGAGCTTATAAACCTGCCAGAAGCTAGGGTACCCCTGGGCCCTCCAGCCCACCTGGCCCCAGCCCCCAACCTCCACCCCCAATCCCTCCCACCACCAGCCCTCAAGCCCAAAGTTTACCTCCCACCAAGGCCCTCATGCCCCCTTCTCAAGGCCGCCTGTACCCATTCCCTCCCTTGGCCTTCACTGAGCCCCAAGGCTGTGGAGCCCTTTGACCACCATCCCTCTGCTGTCCCAGGCAACCTCCTCCAGATCCAGCAATGTCGGCCGGGTGGGAAGAGCTTTCCCAGAGAAATGGATGTGGTGGGGAGACCACGCAGAGGGGCAGCTCTCCCCCTCCAGACCTAGGCCCTACTTTCTCATGTCTCTCCTCCCCAACCCAAGGCTCTTGAAAGGACCTCTTCACTTAGTTCTGGAGCAGAAGATGCTTCTTTCTTCCAGACACAGATGACAGAGTTGGGGCTGAGTGAGGGGCTTCAGACTTGGGGAAAGGCTTTGCCAGCAGACTTGGAAGTCATGGGGGTGTCCATCTATGGGGGAGGGCCAGGGAGGCCCTGAGGCATCAGTGGCTTCTCGGACAGGGCTGGGGGGTTGAGGGATGGGGCCTTGGGCTTGGTTCCCTGAAGGTTTGGGAGAGGCTTCCAGAAGTGTCATCCAAGATCCCTGGAGCAAACCACCTGAGCACCCAGGAGGAAGGGGTACATCCCATGGGTGCTGCTGGGGAGGCTGTCAGGGTCAGTGGGGAGAAAGAGGGGTTTCCCCAGGGCAGTGGTGTCACGATGGGAGGACCCCACACCTTCTGTGGGGCATGACCTGGGGCATTCCTAAGTTGGGACCTGCTGGGGCCCATTACTACTAATGGATTCCTTTCAAACCTCAGAATACTTATCTTGTTCTGAAGCACTTTATAAAATTGGCTTTAGTGTAGGAGCCGTGGTGCTGGCGTGAAAGAGACGGGAGTAGACCCCGGGTGCAAGTCTGACATGTGAGCCCCTGGGGAGGGGTCTTCACGCAGACAGCTGAGGCTAATGGGACACACGCTATGACCAATTTCAGAGCTTTAGTGGAAAGCGCGCAGAGCTGAGGCTTTTTCCTGTGAAAGCCTAATGCACAGGCCCCCTCCCAGGCATCTCACCTTGGGCCGTTTGAAGAGAGTTTGAAGAGAACTAAAGTTTCAGAGAGTAATTTAGAAAACCTGCCCCGGATCCAGGGGCGGCCAGTGTCAGGGAAGCTGCGTGTTCACTTCTTGGGGTGACAGTCTGCTCACGGTGGGCCCCTCACTGAGCCCCCAGTGCCCGAGCAACCTCGGGTGGGCATGCGGGCCGGAGCTGGGGCCCCAATCCCTGGGGGTCTGCTGATGTCGGGATGACAGAGCCCAGCAAAACTGCCCTTGTCCCCTCACACGTGCATACCTCTGAACAGGAACACTGTGTTTGGGGGCTCGGGGACTCCTGCCTCTCTCCTGAAAGAATGAGAGGCCCCATGCTGTTTAGAGCAGGGGAGGCAGAAAGATCAGATTTCTAGAAGGACCCTCTCATGGCAGCATGGGGAGTGGTCTGTGGGTAGAAGGTTCAGGTCTCTGTCTTGTTGCTCTAACAAAGCACCAGAGGCTGTGGGGTGTATAAACAGCGGAGGATGGAAGCCCCAGATCAGGGTACCCACGTGGTCGAGTTCTGGTGCGAGCCCCCTTCTGGGTGACAGACGGCCGCCATCTCTGTGTCCACATGTGACAGAAAGCAGGCAAGGGTGCTCTCCGGGGTCCCTTTTATGAGGGCACAGATCCCATTCCTGAAGGCTCTACCCCCTGACCTCCCAGCTCACCTCCCAGAGGTCATACTTCTAATACCATCCCATGGGGGGTTAGGGCTTCCGCATAGGGATTTTGGAGGGACCCAGACAGTCCATTGCAGGTCACACGGGCTAGGCGAATGCCATCCTTGGGTCCAGGATGGAAGGAGGCAGTGGTGGTGGCAGAACTGGACAGAGACACACTTGGGATAGGTTTGGTGGCAAATCGGAGGGACAGCCCTCGGGGATGGGCTGGATACGGGGGTGAAAGCCTGTGTAGCTGGGATGGGGGTGGGGTCTGAGATGAGGAACTGGGCTCAGTGCCTGGATGGAGCTTTGCTTTGGGCACATCGAGAGGGGGCCATCCCAGGGAGCCAGCAAGTAGGCTGTTGAGTATGTGGGGTTGGGGTTCAGAGAGCCACGGTGTCCTTTGCCAGCACCGAGTCCACAGAATGCCCGCATTCCATGGCCTCATGGAGGAGGATGAGCCTGCAGGGAGCTGAGAAGGAACAGCCAGAAAGGGAGGAGGAGATGATGACCACAGGCCCCCTGACGTGAGGGTACGGAGGTCGCGCGTAGCGTTCGCTTCGGTGGTGTTGGAGCGGGGAGGCAGCGGCCAGGTGGGGACATGCTGAGGAAGGGGTGCAAGCCAAACAGGCAGTTCTTTCTAGACATTTGTCCTCCAGAGGGAGGAGGGAGGGGGTCCACGGGAGGCGGGGATGTGGGGAGGGGGGCTTTTGAACCCGCCTGGGGACACAGGAGGATATTTAAAAGCTGTAGGAAGACCCAGCTGATACAGGACTTGGTTCAGAGAGGGATGGGGTCGCAGGTGACCCTCCATCCCCAGCGGGGACCCGCCACATGGGGAGCGGAGGTGATGCTCTGTCAAGTACAGCCAAGGGAGGGGCAGCTGGAGGTTTGAGGAGATGGGGGAAGGTATGAAATGGTGCTTGCCCAGAGGGAGAGGGGGCACTTCTCAGGGGCATCTTTCGAGGTCACCAGCAAGTTTTGAGGGCATTTTGGTCCTTGAATTTGGAATGGAACCAGTCTGCCTTGTTGGGCGGCTCTGGCTCTTTCCAGCTGCAGGCCTGCAGGTAACAGGTGGTTGGAGTTGTGCCGAGGCCCTGGGGCCGACAGGTGGGGCGGGGAGTCGAGGGTGTTGGGCAGATGTTATGGGACTGGTGGAGAGCGGCATCCAGACTAGGCAGGTTGATGCCTTTAGCAGCAGAGTGGGTCAGAGGGGAGAACACGGAACAGCTAGGTGGTGGGGGGGGCGCAGAGGGGACTGCTGGTCATGGGGACCGGGGAGCCACAGGACAGCCAGCCCTGTGGACCCTGGAGTGAGGGGGAGCCTGAGAGCCAGAGCCAAGGTCCCTCAGAAGGAAGGGTCTGGCCGAGGGGTGGGCAGGGAGAGAGAAGAAGGCAGTGACACGGAAAGGAAGGCCGAGCGATGGTCTACAGGTTACAGACTGTGGACCCAGGGCCAAATTCTCCCAGCCACCCGGGTCCGTGCATGAGGTTTTCCCGGAGCACAGCCATGCCTGCTCATAGACAGATGGCCTGGGCCTGCTTTGGTCCTCTGGATGCAGAGGTGACTGGTTGCACACAGACCGCAAAGCCTAAGATATTTTCCATCTAGCTCCTCGAGGAAAGGGTTTGCTGACCTTACCTACAGCTGCCTGTCCAGGACAGGAGCCACTAACCACATGTGGCTATTTCTATGTAAATTAATTAGATTGCATAAAATTTTAAAAATTTCCTCTTGCAGTAGGCCCAGTTCAAGTACAAAGCCGCACGTGGCTAGTGGTTCCCGTATTAAACCGCACCAAGCTAGAACATTCTACATCGTGGCAAAAATTCCACTGACAGCAGTGGTCTAGAGGCAGCGGGGGAAGCAAGGACCATGTTACCCAGTGGTGTATGGGATGAGGGTGTATGGGATGTGTGTGGGATGTGGGGACCCACCCAGGCGGGCATGTGACAGGACCAGAGCCCTACAGTGCAGAAATGGAAGAGAAGGCCCCAGAAGAGCTAAAGGGTAGTGGGCAGTTTCTGCTCCCTGCCCTGAGTCCCAGAGGGCTCTGGGGCAGGCACGGAAATGCTGTACGGTTTGGGAAAGCGCGTCTCTGGGATTGCAGCATGTGGTTTTCACCTTGGAGGCTGAGGTGCCCTGAGTGACAACTGCCCGAGGCCCTGGAACTGTCCTCCTGAGCCATGCACGTGGACTTTTCTGGCCTGGGTGTTGATTTTGCATAGTTCCTCGCACCGCACACCGTGCGGGATGAGGGAAGGAGACTGGCCTCCCTCTGCAGGCTGCAGATGGGCGATGGGTCGGCCCTTCGCCTTTGTCCCCTGTCCCCGCGGCCTTGTTGCTTTGTCCTCTGGGAGGATGCTAACTGTGCCCTCATCAGTTCCAGGGCCCTGTGAACCAGAAGACCTCATTGATGGGATCATCTTTGCTGCCAACTACCTGGGGTCCACCCAGCTGCTCTCAGAACGTAACCCTTCCAAAAACATCAGAATGATGCAGGCGCAGGAGGCTGTCAGCCGGGTCAAGGTACTGGTAGGCGTAGCAGAGCCCTGGTTCACTTTGGGGGAGGGGGCACTGGAGTGGGGGTGGGTGACCCCACAGCCCTCAGCACGGAGAGCAGGAAGGCCTGAGGCGCCTGGCGAGGCCAAGGGCGACTTTGGCCTGTCTGGAAGAATGCTGGGGTCGGGGGCAGGGGCAGTTGGCTCGTTCACGAGGAACCACCACCCGGCCACTGGGAGTATGATTTTTAAAGGCGATTGGTCCACAGCATTCCACTCATAAAACATGTTGGGATGGAGCCTCAAGTCCCATTTTGATGGTATGTGTGTCTTTGGCACCAAAGTGCTTGCAGAATGGGAAACAAATCCCATGTGTCAATTAAATTCATGACCTCAAGAAACACTATGACGTGCTTGCTGCGCTGGGTACACACGGAATCACCTGGTTGTGAACAGTGGGTGCAGCCGGGCAGGGGGAGGATGAGGCCAAGTCCGCAAAGCTAATGGGGTCCAGGGAGAAGGGCAGGGTGGTCCGCGGAGGTGCCCCCTCTGGGCAGGAGGGGGTCCTTGGATGCTGCCAGCCCCTGGGGTTGAGAAACCACGTCAGGCCCCTCCTCTGTCCTCATTGTGCACTGACCTCCTTTATGGAGGCACAGGGGCCTGGGGCACGAGCCCATGGCGGCCAGGAGAAGAGAAGCACAGAGCCCAGGGCCCTCCTGCCCCACACCCAGCCCTGCTCCTCTGCCTGAAAGCCCGGTTCTCCTCTGCAGACCAGTGGCATCGCTCCGTCCGTCCGTCCCCAGTCTCGTCCTCGCAGATCTGGGGGGTGGTTGGTGATTCCCAGTGCTCGAGGGACACGTGGGGGTGCTTCTTGTGGTCAGTGTGTGTGCTCGCTGACATGGCAGCCACCCACCCATCCTGCCCCTGCAGGGGGGCTTCCCCTGAGCACAAGGTCGGAGTCCCAGGGTGTTGACACAAGACCAAAATAACTTGGCCGCCCTTCCTTCTCTTCCTTTCTTTCTTCCTTTATCCGTTTTTCTTTTCTCTTACATGCTGCTCAGAGGATGCAAAAGGCTGCTAAGATCAAGAAAAAAGCGGTGTGTAGGGCTGAGGGGTTTGCCTGGGTTTCTGGGCCTCGTCCTGTGCAGTTTGGGGGGGGGCGGTCCCGTTTGTAGGAACATACATCATGTGGCAAACAGCTTTTTCCTCTTCCCTTGGTAGATAGACTTCTGAACAAAACCACAGACAAGTTTTTAAATTTTTAACCACCCACTTAACAGAAGAATCTCATCATTGCCCTTTTTATAAATTTCTTGTTTAGTGTCTCCTGTGCTAGAACGTGGTTAATGCCGCGATATCACTGTTTCACACAGACGTTTTTACGGGTGACATTTGATATGATCATGTGACACATTTAGCGCTTAGGCCTCCTGTACAAAATTAATTAAACTGTTCTGATATTTAAAGACTCATTAAGCTTAATTTACTAAATCAGGATGATGGTGAGAAGGTCAATTTGCCCAGGAGATGCGTTCCCCACTGGAAAGAGTTGCTGCAGGGCGTCTGGGTGGCTCAGTCGGTTAAGCATCTGACTCTTTTTTTTTTTTTTTTTAAGATTTTTTAATTTATTTTTTGACAGAGAAAGAGACAGCGAGAGAGGGAACACAAGCAGGGGGAGTGGAAGTGGGAGAGGGAGAGGGAGAAGCAGGCTTCTCGCTGAGCAGGGAGCCAGATGTGGGGCTCGATCACAGGATCCTGGGATCATGACCTGAGCCGAAGGCAGACCCTTAACGACTGAGCCACCCAGGCGCCCCAAGCATCTGATTCTTGATCTCAGCTCAAGTCTTGCTCTCAGGCTCGTGAGTTGAGGCCCTGCATTGGGCTCCACGCCCAGTGTGGAGCATACTTTAAAAAAAAAAAAAAGGGTAGGGGAAAGTTTCTGCAGCATGAGCCAACATTAAAAAAAATCAAGTTGACTTCCAGTCATTTGTTTGTAAACCTGGTCATTTAGTAAATGCTGGGTCCTCCCAATACAGGAAATCTCAAATGCTCGGGGTCAGAAGGCACTGATTTGGTGCAGGCTTGTTGCTTAAACGGCAAGAGATTTAGTCCTCCATTCCCCACCTAGAAAACCATTTTCTGTCTGCGTGGCCACAGGAGCTTGTCTGGGCGCTCCCTTCCTCCTGCGGTGAGACTTCTGTCCCTGTGATATTTGCTCTTTGCCCAGTGGTGTCTCCTTGGATTCCTTGAGCTGTAGGAGAGGAAGGAACTCACCCATCTCCCTCTGCCCAGCGAGCTTTCTGCTCGGTGCCTCCAGGCAGCGTAGATGGGCCTGGCTTTGCAGAGCTGTAGTTGGGGTAGGCTTCCCCCCAAGGGAGAGGGGCGCCTAGCCTGCAGTTTGCCCAGGGCACCCCTAGGCTGCCCAAGCACCAGGCAGCTGGAGCGGGGCTCTGTTGTACGCCGCAGCCCGGTCCTCGGTCTGCTATCCGGGGAGCCCAGAGGGGCCTGGAGCGGGTGCATCCAGCTCGGAGCAGCCTCTGCAGCCTGCTGTAAACCTGGAGAGCTGTTCTTCCCTGCAGGCAAGGAGATGTTCGGGATCGTTGCTGAGGGCCCCTTTTCTGGTCTGCTCACATCTGGCCAGGCAAGTGCTGAGAGGAGGGTGCTTCACGAGTCTGGGACCAGGAGGAAGCAGTGTCCCCCGCACAGCTAACCTGCTGGTGACTATGGGGTCATGGCCCCCCCATCCACAGACATGCCCACCCTCTTGCCTGGTGGCTCTCTGTTGGATTCCTGCTATTGACACTCCCCCTTTCCTCCAGCAGAGCGTATCACGGGCGAGCTTTGCTGTTCCCTGTTGCCGATCAGGTTTTGGCTTCATCTGCTCACCCCCAGTTTGAGCCTGCTCAGCTTCACGTTTGTCACTCTTCTCTCATTAAGTGCACAGGACTCGAGTTTCCTCCAGAAACTGTCACGAAAACCAAGTCCACCTGCAACTTACTTTCTTTTTTTTTTTTTGCTTCTGGCCCAACCTACTTTCTCAAGCAAGAGGGTTTTGAGGAACAATCCTGTAATATGTAACGTTTAAAAGCTTGTGGGCATACACTATAATCCGGTTTTTCAAATCAGAGAAAAAGTAGTTCCTCTACATTCCTGCAGACTGTTTTCAACTGGGTAATTTTGAACTCTCTTCTCTTTTAAAATCAGTTAAAAACAGTGTCACCTCATGGTGGGCTGGAAGCCCCAAAGACCTTTTCTCTTGAAAACTGAGCTGCAATACAAATTTATCAATATTATACAGGGCCTCTCTGCGACTCCAATTTCTTGAGGAATTGTCAGCAGGGGGATTTTAGATTTCGGATTTTTTAGTGAGGAATTAAATCACAGTTTCTGCTCTTTTGAAGTGGAAGATATGCCATTGTGGGCCCCCAGTGACCATAAAGAATTTCTTACCTCAGTGGGTAAACCGGAAGAGTTTGTATCTCATTACCACTGTGCAGTAGTAATTAGGATTCCCATGGTTGTAAAAAGCAATGAAAAGCTGTCCTGGTTTAGAGCAGACCCTGAATACATAGTTCACTCAGCTTCTAGAACATTCCGTGGACACATAAGTAATGGCCATGGGATGAACACACTCCAGGAGCTTACAAAACAGGGGTGTTTGTGTGACAGCTTCTTCTGGTTTTTCCCATGTTGCTGGGAGGGCAGCACTGAGTCCTGTTGGGGTCTTGCTTCCCTTAGGGTTTTTGGAAGATCAGCATTAAGCCTGCTCGGGGGTTGACATAACTAGGACTATTTAAATCAGAAGAAGATGCTGACGCTCTAATCCATCGTCTTTGAAAATTCCTTCCCCATTTCCTGGGGATATTTGGAATCCCAAATCCCGGAAACGTATGTAGCCTGAGTACACAGATCCTGTGCCTTTGCCGAGTTTGATAAGGGTTGGCAGGCAGGCCTACTTTTTAGGGAGTGGAGGGGCTGCGCTTTGACTGCTGGGACCCAAGACCCCAGGCGTCTGCCCCCCCTCCATGCTCAGGCTTCCGGAAGCTGTCTCCTCCCTCCTTCTTCACGCCCTGTGCTAACTGCCTTTAGAACTCACTTCGCTAAGGATTGTGCTGGAAGGCGGCATGCAATTTAGATTTCCCATGGCTGCTGCAAGCTGGAGTAGCGTTTCCCTCTAGGGGCGCTCAGGGTCATTAGTAAAATTGTCAGGCCTTTGTTCAAGTTAGTTTTTTGTTCTTGTTTTTTTTTTTATTTGTAACAGTATCCACTGTCCTTTCTTAGAATTCGGAGGGGGATGCCCAGACTCTGACCGAAGTGGATCTCTTCATCTCCACCCAGAGGATCAAGGTGTTAAATGCGGACACACAGGTAAGCGTTTTAAAGACCGCTGTTTAAAATCATGTACTTAAGCCCCTAACTTCCCACCTCAGGGACTAGAGGAGAACGAGGTCTAGCTGCGGGAGAACTTTCCCTCTGGGAATGAGCTGAAGGACTGTCCCCCAGGACAGTTGCTCCGGACCCCCGGTCTTGAATGAGTTGTGGTTGTAGAATCTAGAGTGAGCTGCAGGGGGCCGAGGAGCACCAGGCTGGGAAGAGAAAAGCCCGTGGTGTAGGTTTGCTGCAGCTGGGATTAAGTAGGCAAAATGAAGGGGAAGGAGCGGGGAGTCGGAAGCTGTGTGCTCACCATCAGGATTCTAGAAGGGCCTTCCTGAAACCTGTGCATGCCAGGCCTGGGGAATCGAGTGGGAGGGTGGAAATGCCGTGTGAGCCCTCGGCCCTCTGAGTGGGTGGTCTTCCAGCAGGGGTGGGGCTGTCTTAAGATTTTCTACCTGTGAACCCTGTGCTGTGGTCAGGTTCTACTCATTTTTCCTGGGCCTTCATCACTGCTGTTGGTGGAGAAGACAGATCTGTGAGGAACAAGTGAGCCGAGGAGAAGGAGGGAGGAGGCCAGGGGCATGGGCCAGAGGGAGGGAGGGGTCGGGAAGGCCTCAGGCAGTGCTGTGTCCTTGAGGTTTGCTGAGGGAGAGGGAGGCCCCACTGTCCCTGGGGTCAGACCTCCATTCCTGGGCCCGTTGGAGGACGGAGGACGGCCAGATGCTGGAGTAATGACCCCTTTGCTTCTTTGTCATCAGCAAGTAATCTGTGTGCTGACGCTCTGGATGTGTGGGGACCCTATTCCCCAATACCCATTTTGGCTGCAGGTTTTGGCACCCAGTGATCATCTTGCTTGAGTTGGTTCCAACACCGGAAGTAAAAAAATGGTGCATTTCCTAATTATCTCATGCTCTCCACTTTTATTATCAGACCTTGCCCCGTGCAGAAGACTTATTGTTTCTTTCTCTCTCTCTTCACTGTGGACCGATGAATTTTTTTAACTTGTGTTTTAATTATTATCCTCATTATTCTTTTTGGCGCTCTGGTGATCCCCAATTCAGCCAGAGACCTTTAAACTGGGTCCTGTGTGGCTTTGACATCTTCCCTTTAGTCGCTGATCACGTCCTTGCTTTCCGAGGTAGTGAGGCATTCCGAGCTCCCCTTACGCTTTCCCTGCCCCAGACCTGGAATCAGCCGTTTCTTCGAGGAGCTACACACAGTTCCTTTTCGTGGGGAACAATATTACAGAAACAAAGACCTGGGTGCTGGCCGTGTTCACCGTCGCAGGGGTCTCCTTGTTCCTGGGCCCTTGCAACAAACAGAGCTAAACAGTAAATGTGTTTTATTTATTTATTTTTAATTTTTTATTGTTATGTTGATCACCATACATTACATCATTAGTTTTTGATGTAGTGTTCCATGATTCATTGTTTGTGCATAACACCCAGTGCTCCATGCAGAACGTGCCCTCTTTAATACCCATCACCAGGCTAACATCCTCCCACCTCCCTCCCCTCTAGAACCCTCAGTTTGTTTTTCAGAGTCCATCGTCTCTCATGGTTCGTCTACCCCTCCGATTTACCCCCCTTCATTCTTCCCCTCCTGCTATCCTCTTCTTTTTTTTTTCTTAACATATATTGCATTATTTGTTTCATAGGTACAGATCTGAGATTCAACAGTCTTGCACAATTCACAGCGCTCACCAGAGCACATACCCTCCCCAGTGTCTATCACCCAGCCACCCCATCCCTCCCACACGACCCCCCACTCCAGCAACCCTCAGTTTGTTTCCTGAGATTAAGAATTCCTCATATCAGTGAGGTCATATGATACATGTCTTTCTCTGATTGACTTATTTCGCTCAGCATAACACCCTCCGGTTCCATCCATGTCGTTGCAAATGGCAAGATCTTCTTCTGATGGCTGCATAATATTCCATTGTATATATATATACCACATCTTCTTTATCCATTCTTCTGTCGATGGACATCTTGGCTCTTCCCACAGTTTGGCTATTGTGGACATTGCTGCTATAAACGTTGGGGTGCACGTGCCCCTTCGGATCCCTACAGTTGTATCTTTGGGGTAAATACCCAGTAGTGCAATTGCTGGATCGTAGGGTAGCTCTATTTTCAACTTTTTGAGGAACCTGCATACTGTTTTCCAGAGTGGCTGCACCAGCTTGCATTCCCACCAGCAGTGTAGGAGGGTTCCCCTTTCTCCGCATCCCTGCCAACATCTGTCGTTTCCTGACTTGTTAATTTTAGCCATTCTGACTGGTGTGAGGTGGTATCTCATTGAGGTTTTGATTTGGATTTCCCTGATGCCGAGCGATGTTGAGCACTTTTTCATGTGTCTGTTGGCCATTTGGATGTCTTCTTTGGAGAAATGTCTGTTCATGTCTTCTGCCCATTTCTTGATTGGATTCTTTGTTCTTTGGGTGTTGAGTTTGGTAAGTTCTTTATAGATTTCGGATACTAGCCCTTTATCTGATATGTCATTTGCAAATATCATCTCCCATTCTGTCGGTTGTCTTTTGGTTTTGTTAGTAAATGTGTTTTAAAATAAAGCCCAGAGTTCATACTTGTACCTTCGTCTGCAAGGAAGATGGCTATGCCAAGGGCATGTGGCCAGAAATCAGGAAATGCCGAAGAGCCATCCTCGACGGTTCCCTGTCTGGTCCCCCCTCCTGAAAAGTGGCTCTTGTGGTTTGAAACCACCCCCCTAGCCTTGGCCAGGAAACAAATCAGCTCCTGGAAGACAGACGTGGGGTAATATCTGCTATAAAAATGGATTCTGTGAGGAAGAAAAGGGGCTTCCGAGGTTGCAGAAGCAGCCAATTTTTCTCTTGTGGAAAAAGCACAAAGGCAATAAAAGACCAACTGATGAGTTTCTCAGAGCCTTTGTGTGCAGCCTTGTTAGGTAGGGGTCATGCGCACGGTGCTCTGTGGAGATTCCTGTCAGATGACAAAAGCCATCAAGAGTAATGGACCTGCCAGGAGCCGAGGGAATTGAAAGGCCACAGAGACCCGTCCGTCAGTCAGGGGAGCTGCCTCAGTGTCCCCTGACCAGGGCCTGCACTGCTTGGGCTCCCTGGGAAGAACTCATCTGTGGAATGATGAGCCTCCCTCATCTGCTAGGGAAAGGCATGTGCCTTGCAGGGAAGGGACCCTTCTTCAGAGCCACAGACCGCCTCTGATCAGGTGGGGACAGGCTTCACCTGCTGACAGCCTCCCCACTCTTCCTCCAACAGGAACCAAGAGCTCCCCCTGACGTCGTGCCTCCAAGAAGCAGTGGGAGGGTGCTGTGGGGCGAAAGTAGATTCACCTTGACTGTGCATCACTGCCCTCAAACGCTCTGTTCCCTAGAGCAGTGATTCTCAACCAGGGTGATGTTGTTCCCCATGAGGACATTTGGCAAAGGCTGGAAATACTTTTGGTGGTCACAACTTGGGAACGGGGTGATGGCTACTGACACCTACTGGCTTGAGGCCAGGGATGCCGCTAACCATCCTACAGTGTACAGAACAGCCCCTCACAAGAAAGGAAGACCCCCCCCCCCAAGATCATTAGTGTCAAGGCCAAGAAATCCCGGACTTGAGTGTTTTTTTGATGGCTTGTTCTCCCTAATGTTTCCTAACCTGGATCCCCCCCACTCCTGACAGGAGACCATGATGGACCACGCCTTGCGCACCATCTCCTACATCGCGGACATTGGGAACATCGTGGTGCTGATGGCCAGGCGGCGCATGCCCCGGTCGGCCTCTCAGGACTGCATCGAGACCACCCCTGGGGCCCAAGAGGGGAAGAAGCAGTACAAGATGATCTGCCACGTGTTTGAGTCTGAGGACGTAAGTAACTGTGCAGGCCTGCCGCGCCCCTCCCAACGGCCCCGACTTCACCAGGGCTCCGGCGGCATCCCAGGCTCTTTGGAAACCATGTCTCAGGTAGAAATCCTGCGCACCAACATATATGTTTCCGGTGGAATCAGTGGGGTTTTCTTCTAACACCCGAGTTTGTAGAGATAGGGAACATAGTTTTACTTCACTTTATGAAATACGTCCTT